CTTTTCAGAATACTACAGGAACGAGCACTGTAACGGATGCGAGGGAGCGCTGTGGGTGGGGGCTCAACGAGTCAAGCGAACGTAAGTACTAAACAAAACTTCAAAAAGGTCTGATAAATGCATGGGACAAAGGTCGGCGCATTTCCAATGTTCTGACAAGGGGGTGCCTCAGGAAAAGTCGCTCTTTTCAAAACGGTTTCTTCTATGTTATAGAGACCCATGTATAGACCAATGTTCCATTTCCGCTGAATGGTTTTAGCAGTCTCAGAAAATGTGCAAGGCACTCTCAATGGTTCGCTCATTCGCGGCGACCAATTTTACATTTGCAAAATTCGCTACGGCGTTGAGTGCCGAAAGTCTGTGCTAAATGTTAAAATCAGATGTCATATTGATTGTTATTACCATATTGAAGCCAAAAGGAGCCGCCAAACTTGAATGCAAAATTCAGTCGATACGGGGGAACGAACCATTGGGAGTAACATTCACTACGTCCATACATGCGCCCCTACAATATACAGCGGACGGTTTCGAAAAAAGTGCGCCTTGCCCTGGAAGGCCCTCCTTGTGAGTCTTTTCCCATGGTTCTTTTCCTCACTCTGGCACCTCCGGCCGCCTGTACCTTAAACGAATCCTTCTCGGAAAAATCATGATTCTATTTCAGCCATAGATCACTGGCATTGAACTCATCATCCACGATAAGAATGAAAAGAACAGAAAAAATTGCATTTGTTTTGGTGAATAATTCGAATTACCGCGTGACATCTGTCACAAAAAAGGCGACGAGAAAAATTCCAATTGATTTCGTGAGTGCCGTCTCTAGAAGCTCCTTCTACTGCATCCTATTCTATCGATCGATTTGTCTCTACTCTCCAAAATCGCGCGCTTTAACCCGATTCTTTCATTGCGTCGCCTGATACGTAGCCGCCCCAAGGCGGACTTCTTTCCATGCCCGCCTTTGGCTCCGCCCCACTTACCTTCGATTGTCCATAGAGTGTGGTTTTTGTAAGTTTGTTTCTCTTCGGAAACTGAATCTTTGTGCGTGAAACTTTGTATGTTGTCTCTAGTGATCACAACTGACACGTGCGGGTTGAGGAAGAATGCAAGATTTTTCCGGGAAGGATTCCTTCAATTCTGCTAGAATACCTTCCAATGGAAAACTCTTTCTTCAAGCACTTAGTCTTTCACTGATGAACATTTTACGACCACTGCTTCCGAAAGCCATCGGTGAAAACGTAAACAGCAAATTAAGGCCATTTTTAGGCACAAATTCGAATGGCTTTTCGAGCACCTGGGCGAGGTGAAAATCTGGAAGGACGGCGAACCAAATCATGAGAGCAGGTGATATCTTGAGATGTGCAATCGAGAAAGTCTTACTGCGCTATCATTTAGCATTTCTAGGGGTGAGAATTGTGCGGCATTATTCGTTTCGCACAAGGCCCTCGGTGATATAGAGTGCGTTCACAATTACGCCGAATACGTTGTAAGACCCTTACCATGTGAACTATTGTTCGACAAATAATACAAAAGCAGTCAATTATACTTTGCAGAGTTTCTGGAAGCTCAGAGGCTACATTTGTACGAGGAAACTGTGAGAACGAGAACGAGGCTTTGTTCTGAATAAATATCCATTCATAAGATACAAATATTGTGGTTCATTACTGCATGTCATTTGCTCGATAAAGTGGAGCAGTAGAGCTGGATACTGTACAAATTCATGAATTCGACCAGAACGTCCACTTGAAAGAATGTGAAGTTCTTGGGAAAAACTATCAACTTATCAAGATAATCACCATCTTGACCTGTTGGTTTATGAGTATGTATGTATGTTATTAGGTACATAGGTGTCTGTTGCTGCGCCCGTTTATCCGTAACCGAAGCTGGAAGAATTGGAGATTATTTGGGCTTCTGGCATCAACCTACATATAAGCTGTGTGGCCAAGGTGGTATTGTCGCACTGTAAACGACACTCACCTGGAGCCTTAGCAGTTACCCAAATAAGTGAGAGGATCGCACGTGGACGTCAGTGCATTTGTAAAATGCATATATTTTGAAAAATATCAATTATTTGAAAAAGAAAATCCGACGGTGGTCTGACGATGACGTTGGCAATACTCAAATGTATAACATATTTGGAAAATATTTTACTAAGAGCAAATAGGCAAGCAACGTTAGGAAAGGACTTTACTTTCATTCACAAGCATCATTGGTAGCACCATTCGAATAATACGTAGGGCCAACATGGCCAAACACCATTCACATTTTATTAAATTAGGATTAGAACATTTGCTGTTCATAGCTCGCCTCCAGAAGACGCGTTTTCTCATTGGGGATAGACGGTTTCGGAGTCTTCTTACACAGCCACCTGCAACATCGCCATCACGATTCGCCAAGAAATTATACCAGAATCGCTTAAAGGCAAGCAAATCAGAATTAGTTGAAAGGGTGATTCCACCCAAATGTAAAGTCAGGGGTGGAGGGACCGCCAGTTCAGAAACCCAACGGAACGCAAAATCCTGAAATAACACCGGAAACATGAAAATTTGCCCACTGCCCGTGGAGAGGTTCAAAAGACAGGCAGGGAGATAAGAGATAATTGTGAGCGCGGAGAGTGGTAGAGAAGTCCGAGAAGAGAGAGCATAGCAGATCAACGTGGCGACGCAGACAAGATATCGAACGGTGGGCGGACCATGTTAAGTTTGGTGGAGTCTGTTAGAAGTCCATGGCGCCTAGGGTCCTAGTGACGCGTTTCGATGTAGAAAGGTGGCGCTACCTTTGCACTTGCGTACCCAGCACTTCTAGCCATGGTAAGGGCTTCTTAGGTGGGTCTGAGCCGATCTTTTCCTTAAAAATCAGCGTTGTTCGTATTGCCAACACCTTTTCGGAGGTTACACAGCCATTTGAGGTGGTAGCGTTACGTGACTTACTACTTAAAAGTTTCAAGCAAGCACGTAGGAGCTCCAATTTCTTGAATTCATGGACACTGATTCCAATATGTAGTGACAAAAAAAATAGAAATGAATTGGTGGTTTTGACGATGCTCGAAAAATGGTCCGAAATAAGCGCACAGGTTGTTGCTCAGAGTTCAATTATGGATCAAGACCGTCAAACAAACGAAGTGAAAATTACCCAGAGTGACAAGGACGAAAGTGAAACCATGTTCCTCCATGAATGCTCGTCGCTCCAGTTCACTTATCGAGGGGGAGATATGCCTGCCATAAAAGACCATAAAGGAGGCGCTGTTTGCAATGCTGGGCAAAAAGCCAAATAAAAAGAACTGACCGTCCTATCATAAACAACTTTGCGAATTTTTGGCATGAGCGTTGGCTGTTCATTTGAGAGTGAGCAGTTTTTCGAATTCAAAGGAGTTCGCAAATACGGACAGTCCTGAAGTGTAAGATGTATTATTGGCTGAATATTTTTTTACGCACATTCGCGTCCTTAGCACTGTGGGCTTCAGTTAAAGGCACAACCCAGGCAGAGGTCGTGTGAACTCTTCTCTTCGGTCAGAAGTATAGAACCCTAGGGGACAATCACAAATGTGGCGTTCACGTGCACGGAATTCGACCGACAAGAACGCTTTGGGGCTTGCAAAGTAAGCTGCTCGAGCTGCAGCGAACGAGCTCTCTTATCAGGCCGTTGTCTGGTGCTCTCTCATCTGATGCGCTCTCTCGCCCCATACTCTCCTCTTCGCGCTTAGTCTCTCGTTCCTTTAGCACAGCCAATTAGGAAGGTGAGTGAGCCCTCAACCTGAGCGTTTTCGACGGATTCTTTTCCTTTTTTCTTCACTGCCGGCCCACTTGGCACCGATACATTCACATTCGTGTGCAAGAGCCACACCAGTGCGATCCTGGGGCATGCCTTTAAAAGCAAGACCCCCAGTCTGGTCTAAGCTGAGCCTTCCCGCGAGAAAAATGCAGTGACGCAAGCGGAAGGCATGTACAAATTCCCCGGGACGCGTTGGCAAGGCCGAGGCGACAAGACCCTGGAACGCAGCATCGGCCCCGCCTACACAACCGAACCGCCACAGTCCACGCTACGTTACTGTCGCGCTGCTTAAACGGAAACTTTATCTCCGCCTTTTCTCATCGTTTTTGACTACTGGCGTTACACATTACATGTCCACGGTCACTTGCAAGTGCATTGGTACACAACTTCGATCTCGCACTTTGCTTTTATTGCTTTCAAGCATCTGGGCTTGACACTTGAAAATGACATTTACTGGTTTTTTATCATAATGCGCCCAGTTTTCAGCTTCCTATACAGATAATAGTAACTCTTCTGTGAGGGTCCTAGCGATGACCTGCACATTTCTTAGTGCACAGCTAAAGTTCTGTCTGAAGTTTATTGCTTTCGTGTATTTTCTTTTCTTTCTGTTGCACTGCAGTTGAGATACGAATGTTTGTTATTGGGTTGTGAAAGAACAGTTCACTTTCAGAGGTTCGATTCCGGACCTCGTAGCTTCTGGGTCGCGTAGCGTTTCTCCTCCTGGGGTCAGCTCTGCCGCCGCACGCGGCGATCGGGCTCGTCGCGTGTGCGGCGATTCTGCGATGTGGAGGTTTTTACTAGTCCATGCTGTTGTCCACCGTTGCAGCCTTCACATTTGATTGTCAAGTGACGAGGTGGCTAGTCCCAAGCACAGTAAGGCTCTTCCACTTTGATGTCTCCCATGGACATGAGCCAGAAATTAAGTTTGGAAATTAAGAAACAGCTGCGGAGAACATTGGAACTTTCTGAAGCAGTCTAAATGAACGAACCATAGTAAACTGCGTGGTAACGTCATGTAGTATGGGCGTCATGTGTAAATATCGCGCCATACTGCATGATCTACTCTCTTTCACGCCATTGGGGAGAAGGAGGTCAGTCAAATTAAAAACAGGTCACTCAAACAGCGCCTAAGTTGCTCATTTGGCAGAAACGAATCGATAAAATTAACGAAGCTTCACTCTCCAACAGCCAGAAGAGTGTGAAGAGGGCTAAACCATATCGTTTCCGCCGCTAATGAATCCTATTGGCATTGTGAGTGCATGGAAACAACCTCTATAAACCGATTCCGGTACTTCAAATTGAGCAAACCACCTTCAGTCCCTCACTAAGACAGTAGTGGTCTAACGGATAATAGCATTCTATCAATCGACAGTCCGAAACTTGGGAAAATGCCAGCGATGTGCCGAGCGACTGGCCACACCGTCACATCCAACCACCACAGCCTTCGCCGCGTCGATCGCCGCGTGCGGCGGCGCGGCGGCGACCCCAGGGAGAAACGCAGTCTCCGGGGAAAAGAAAGAACAGAAAAAAATGAGAGCATGGCCTAAACAAAGAGAAATGAGACTCGCTATCTTGCCCGCGTGATTGTCCAGCAGACAGCGACTTTCACCGAGCTAAGAGACCTCAGACACAGCACGAGCGTGACGGGAAGGGGCGTACCGCGCCAACTGCGGCCTTGGGAAGGTCTGCTACGTCGTCGGGGCATACCCTTCGATGCTAAGTGCGTGTCGGTCCGCACCCTCAGCAGTCCACCTGTCTCTCTACTAGGTGGGTTTCTCCTTCGACCTTCGTCCTTGTAGTGGAATCCTCCTTTAATCATTACGTGCTTGAGCCATATTCGTCTTAACTCTACCAATCTTCGATGTTTTTTTTCACCTTATCAACACCCACACGTACAAGGTAAAAGGCGCATTGGCCGAACGATTAATTTTGAAGCTGAAAGCATGAAGGAATTGATCACTAGTAGGTGGTGAATGGTACGGTCTTTATCACGTCAATGAACAACGTTCGTCGTTGGTAGGCCGGATCCATCCACACCATATTTTCTCACCTGATCGCCTAATCGCCTGTATTGTTAACTTTTAATAAGGCCCTAGCGTATAATGCAGTTGTGAGCTTTGTTTTCTTCTGTTTTACTACTGTTAAAATGAGCATTTATTAAATTACGTGAATAAATTGGCTGAAATGCCGCCAGGATTCGAACTTTTTTGCATCCCGCATCCTGAATCATCGCTTCTTGCGCTTCAGCAGGCAAACTATGGTATAAATGGGTAAAGGGCTAGGCAAGGAGATAAATGACCCGAATAATCTACACCGATGGTCTGCCGCATAGTAAGATTAAAAACAAATCGAGTGTAGGTTAAAAAAAACTCTCACCTCAGGAGGACAAACCCATAACTGTGGTTGGAAAGTGCTCCATTCTATTGGAAATCGGCTACCCACTGGCTTGAATAAATCGCTCCATATAATTTTTGCCACAATGTCATGAGCCATTTGGGAAAAGTGGAAGCAGTCGAGAGCAATGAAGGCGAGATTGAGCGATTTCTAAAAAGGTGGCAATAAATGATACGGGTTTCCGAAGCCTAATCCAAAGGAAATCTCTTTCTAGGGCACACTCCGCCATAGAAGTATTTGTATATTGTATTGTATAAATATATTCTATCAAATGATTTCAAATACGAAACAACAGTTGTTGGTGACTCATCACTGAAGAAAGGAAAAAATCATTTAGAACACTCCGAATGGCTCTTACCAGGAAGGTCTTTCAGGGGATGCCGAGCTTTTTCTAAACGGTATTTTGCATGATGTAGGGGCGTACGCGGGAGCCTGAGCGAGAAGCGGGAGTTACCATGGACAATTAGTGCCATATTCATAATTAGGACCGTCAGTAACCACGTCAACACGAAATGCAAAAGTTTGTCACCACGAGGAATCGAACCAGGGACCCCTTTTTGGTATTCAGAGGGCCGTTAGGAAAATTAACCATTGTTCTGTGGTTC